TACAAATACGAGTGCAAGTCCCCGCCATACTCAAGGTGCACAGTCGTCAATGATAAACCAGTCTGTTCTTGTCGATTGAACTGTTCTAATGCCATCAACTGGGTTTGTGGATCTGACGGTAATTCATATAGAAACGAGTGTGAGATGAGACGAGCAGCTTGTATTAGTAACAAGATGATAACTGTCCGCAAAAAGGGACACTGCAGTAAGTTCACATTTCCCTTTCTATATTTCTTATGAACAAACATACATTTGTTCGCTGGATATTTGCAATTGCATTAACACTGTACTTTTAGAAATACTGCTAAATTACTATTCATTACTTTATTTCATGCAAGAAATGATATTTTTAGATTGTTATAAATACACGATACAACACTACTGCTTGTTTATCGTACATTACATGAAATATTTGCTGTATAGACATATAGACATACACAAAGATTTATTTTCGGTAGTATTTTTTTAAGAAATTGTTCAGAACTAAGGTACAAGCTATCTAAAATGACTAAAAAGTTAATCTAGTTAGACAGCTATAGGTTTAACATTTACATATGAATATTACAGACGGTAATATGAATATTACAGACGGTATATTCTACGGTATGTTCTAAAGTACGCGCTCCCAACCATTTAGAACGCGAGTGGATATTTGTAATTGATTAAATACACGCTAATATTTCAAAGGGATTTAACAACTTGTAATGTGCCAAGCAAATGAAATCTTTGATAGTTTTGGTTACATTAACAATTTGCACCGTTCTCTTTCAGATCCTTGCTTCGAATACAAGTGTTCGTCACCACCATACTCAACATGTACGAATGATAATGACAAAGCAGTATGCTCTTGTCGTTTCCAATGTCCCACCACCTATGACTATGTTTGTGGATCTGATGGCAACACGTACGATAACGAATGTCAGATGAGACAAGCTTCATGTAGGAATAACAAGATGATAACAGTTCGTAGAAAAGGACACTGCAGTAAGAACCATATTTTTTATGCTTGTATGATCAACTCACTCTTATTTTATAGCTTAGTTAGTACGCACGCTCTGATTGGTCGATAATGTTGCTTTATTAGAGAGTTTAAGAATCTCGTTGACGGCAAACGTGAAACGTCAGTTGACCATTGAAAAATATCTTTAATATTAGCAAAAAGAATCGCAAAAATATCCAAATACTAATTAAACAAAAGAATAAATGAGTTTGGTGACAATGTTTAGGTAAAGTGAGATGCAAGAGAACGATAAAAACATGGTCAAGTTCGTCGGAAGAAAAAACGGGAAGATTTTATTAATTTTTCTAAAAATAAACGGAGTATGGAAGCTGACGCCATCCGCGCACGCAGCGAACTTTGCAAAGAATTGTGGGAAAACGGCTTCAAAACCTACCAAGAGTTTTTTCTTCCAATATAATAAAATAATTAAAACAGCTTTTTTTGCTCTCTGTTCAGTAACAAAGCACTTAGGAAGTGCCAAAAGAAACACGTCATGCTTCCATCATGCTTCCATCACTCCCTGCATACTTTATACTGAACGGAGCACCGAAAAATTGTTTTCTTATCCTCTTAAGTTGTCTTCAGTTTAGCTAAAGATATTGAATCTCGTTTTTATTTTACAAAGATCCTTGCTTCGGTTACAAGTGTTCGTCACTGCCACACTCAACATGTACGAATGATAATGACAAAGCAGTATGCGCTTGTCGTTTCCAATGTCCCACCACCTATGACTATGTTTGTGGATCTGATGGCAACACGTACGATAACGAATGTCAGATGAGACAAGCTTCTTGTAGAAGTAAAAAGATGATAACGGTTCGCAGAAAAGGACACTGCAGTAAGTAATTATACATTGGACTCCACGTTAATTGTKTTTATTTCAGTACTACCTCCTATGTCTTCTGCTTCTTTTACTTTATGATGCAGGAGTAAAACCGGGAAGGGTGAAAGGTAGATTTGACCCCCTCTACCCTTTCCATTCATTGACAACTTATCCATGACTGAAGTGAATGTGATTGTAGGCGGCGAGGGAGGATTGAAATGAAGGTATAATTTGGAGGTTAGTGGGAGTTACTCCATGGGAAATTCTTTATATGCCCAAGCATCAGATAATGTCCTAAAGCCTGGTTTTCACTCGCGACGGAAGCAGAATTGGAAGCAGAAGCAGAAGCGTAAGACGTCTTATGTTCTTATGAAAATCAAAAAGTGGAGACGCAAGCAGAAGCAGAACATCGACGAAAGCATAAGCAGAAGGAACGGAAGGTTTCCTTTGCTTATGCTTATGCTTATGCTTCCGTCCTTACGTCGCTAGTGAAAACCAGATTCTTATGCTTCCGTCGCTAACATACAGAAGTACAAGGTGGTAAGCCAATCAAATTCTTTTTCTCAGTCCCCTGCGCACGTTGGATTTTTGTATAAACTATGGCTTCCTATTGTTTTTCTTATGCTTCTGTCACATTCATTTTCACTAGCACATAACTATCTTATGCTCATGCTTATGCTTATGCTTCCGTCGCTTATGTCGTTAGTGAAAACCAGCCTTAAGGTAGCACTTACAGTCACGAAGGTCATTTTTCATTGAAAAGTTGAAAGCATGCCAATATCTGCAAAAGAGGCTACTTGATAGATGGAAAATCTTAACTCCGATTTTATTTATATWTTTATTTTTATTTTTATTTTTTATTTTTAATCAACAACATTCACTAATAAACTACCAAATGCATTTTTGAAATGGTAGATGTTTGTTTCGAATTCGACTGCTCTTCAACGCCCTACTCCTCGTGCGAGGCTATCAACGACAAAGCAGGGTGCGTCTGTCCGTCACAATGCCCCTTGACCATGGACTATGTCTGTGGATCTGACGGTAATACTTATGACAACGAATGTCGGATGAGACAAGCTGCTTGTAGAAGTAAAACGATGATGACAGTCCGTAACAGGGGTCAATGTGGTAAGTAATGTTGCATCGTTTCAAGTTAACTCGTCTTTTTGTCTGCCTTCTTTTATTTTGTTTGCTTGCTTGCTTGCTTGCTTGCTTGCTTGCTTGCTTGCTCGTATAATAAAATGTCAGGGGAATGACTGATCCCTTCATGAGAACCCACAATATTTCTTGCCTTACCCACTAATCTCAAATGAATGGCAACCTTCTAACAGCTATATCCTAGTTGTCCCAACCCGTCAAAGAATCAAGCTAGTTTACCAGTTATCAATTGTTTTTGTTTTTGTTTTTGTTTTTTTTTTCGTTCGTTAGACCCATGCTTTGAATTCGACTGTTCAACCAAACCTTATTCAAGTTGCAAGAAAAGAAACGACAAAGCAGTCTGCGAGTGTCCTGAAAAATGCCCAACTATAGTAGACCGCGTTTGTRGTACCAACAGGAAGACGTATGACAACGAGTGTCTGATGAGACAGGCTTCATGTAGGAAGGGCATCATGATAACTGTACGAAGAAAGGGGATCTGCAGTAAGTACACATTGTAACTATAGCTGTTATAATTTTGAGATACGCCTTCTATCTCTTATGAAATATTTTTCTTTCGCATTGCAGTAAATCTGGATGTTCGAGTGTGTACAAGATGTCTTCTTTGTTGTTGTTGTTGTTGTTKTTGTTTTTGTAAACATTCCTTACAATGGGAGTGGGGGAGAACTGTTGCATATATCTTCGAAAATATTCACTATAAATTGTTTGAAACGCTAATTAAGTTGATTTTATTGCTAAGAAAAAGACAATTGCTCAATTTTAAATTGCTTTTATTGAATTGTTTCAGAGCCATGCGCTGGCTACAACTGTGCTCTAGTTCGTCCTTTTTCCACGTGCAAAGTAGTAGATGACAATCCAGAATGTGTGTGTCCCGTGTGCGAGAAAAAAGAGCCTGACTATGCGTGTTATAGTAATGGAATGCATTACAGAAGTGAATGCAGTATGCGCCGAGCATCCTGCAATCTCAACCAAACACTAACRTTCGTCTCTAAAGGAAAATGCGGTAAGTCTTACATTACAATTGCCATTTCGAAAAAGTAGATGGTTATCTTAAATAGTGTATGACAATAATAAAGAAGAGTTTTTATAAGGTGGTGTCAGAGACGAAGGTGCTACATTTTGCACTATGTCACTTTATGTACCTCAGTAATCCTAATCGATGAAGAGGGGGCTTGCCATTCAAATGGTATAGTACTTCATGCCCATTTCCTTTGACTAGACGAACTATTTTGGAATAGGTATACATACATATATAACAAAAAACGCTCACAACTTTTAAAATGCATTTGATAAGGATGGTAACAAAAGCCCGCCTCAATGAGGCGTTGCTTGCAGCCAACCATGATATGAATATTATCAGAATAAAAGTTCATCACTTCATATTTTCTACTCGCCTTTTAATTTCTATGTGGAAAGAGCAAACCCAATAAAAAAATATGTGATACAATCTACGCATGATTGTTATTCCGGTATTGTCAAAAACACCTTCGGGACTCATTCTAATGCCAGGCGAAACAAACGTTTCAAACCTGATTTTTTGTCTATATTCTACTTTTTGTTTTGTCTCGCAGTTTGTGATGCAAAAGTAGACCTTGGTATCTTGGTTGACTCATCTGGCAGCATTGGCCGTAAGAACTGGGTTCGAATGAAGGATTTTGTGAATTCGGTCATCAAATCGTTCAAGGTTGGAGGAGATAAAACGCATGTGGCAACGATCTCATACAGTACAGAACCAGAAATTATTCTTAAATTCAACACGTTAACAGGATCTGCAGTTACAGCTGAAGCTTATGGAAATTACATCAACAGTATGAGATGGCAGAGAGGATATACCTACATAGATAAGGCTCTAATATTGGCTAACACGGATTTATTCGAAGTCAAGGATGGAATGAGGACCAACGTTCCTAAGGTACCAATTCGTGACGTCTTTTTCATTACACGCGCGCTGCCGAATAGACCTTCTGCTCTGACGTAATGTTTTCCCATTTCAGACCATCCCCGTTTCATTCCCTAGGGTATCATTTTTTAAGGTTGCACATGAGAAGACACATGAATATGGATAACCGTCCTTTTTTCACGAGGGTAGCACTTAATAGCCAGTGGCTAACAAACCTGTAACCCTCATTCCATGATCGAATTGGAATTTAGGAGTTGATTTTTGGGGAGGAAAACCGGAGAAACCGGAGAAACCCTCGAAGCACAGGAGAGAACCAACAAACAACTCTACTCATATACAGCGCCGAGCCCGGCGGGACTCGAACTCGGGTCGCTTTGATGAGAGGCGAGCGCTCACACCGCTACGCCACCCGTGATTCCCTTAGATACAACTCAAACAAAGAATATTATTGTCAAGGGAATGACACGTGGTCTGAAATGGGACAACAATACGCTCGAGTGCTGCAGAGGTTATATTGCTGATGATTGAGTGGAGTATATAGTAGTCCAACATGAGTTCCGAGGTGTTGTTTAGTTCCCCTAGCAAATAATATTGAAATAGGTGGTCGTACAATGACGAAATTAGTTATTGGTTCATTGTTCATTAAACTTCCAATAAGAAATTTATAGTCCCCCTTAAAAGTAGGAATGCAGCTCAATTTCAAGGACATAACAATAGGTTTGGTTTCCCATTGATGGGTTGCAAGCATTCCCAAGAGAGTTAAAAGACAAAAACATGGCGGCCATTGTGGTACCGTTAACAATGGATGCTAATGAGAAATATTTTGTTAATTTGTACCAGCATGGCCGCAATGACGTAACGTGCAAACGAAGAATTCTCTTGAAAATTATTTTATTTCGTCCTCCAAATTGAGCTGCTTTGAAGTCGCTTGCAACGGTGCTATTGGACAATCCATTAAATAAAATTGAAAAAAAAAACAAACCCAATGTTAGAATGATTGGCACATTAACGTGATAATTCAATGACAATGTTTATAAATATTACGTCCTCCTATTGTCCATTTAGAACTAAGAGCGTTCGGAATAGAGCGGATGCTATTAAACCGTGAAATAAAATCAAACTAAATACTATCTAATAGTAGCTATTTAGTGACTAATGGACCCCTCGCAGCACTTTGAAATGAAGCTCAATCTGGGGGCCAAAACCACGTGGCAAAACAATATGTTCCAATTCTCAGGAGTTTGGAATTATTTTGTTTTGTCTCTCAGATCGAGGTGCTTTGACGTCACATGCAAGAGGCCTACAGTCCTTTGACTAAACGTTGTCGTTTGATCGGCTTCATCCCTACGCGCCTAGACCGAAAAGGATCATGGGGATAATTAATTCACAGTTACTAGCTGCCATATATCTTATCTAACACGTCTTGAGCTCGCTGTTTTCGATCCATTTAATTTGCTAAAACCATGCCTCGAGCATACGGCGAAGATTTAAACTGGCGAGCAGTTTGGATGACGCAAGTTCTGGGTAATTTACCCGTTATCCTTTTCGGTCTAGGTGCGTAGGGATGATCCGATCAAGGACAACGTTTTGTCAAAGGACTGTATACTAATCAATCGATACAACACGACAAACATCAACAAATAATTTGTTCAATAATCTTTATACGCTATGGGGTTTTTTACCTTTTTTCCTAGATCCTTTTCCTGATTACCGATGGAATACAGACAAAGCGCGGTGAATTCACCCCTCTTGCAGAAGCGTCTCGCCCTCTCAAACAGAAAGGCGTCCGCGTTTATGTTATGGGTATTGGAAAGTCGCTTGCAAAGGAGGAACTTGAAGACATTGCTACCAACCGCAATCGAGATGTGTTTTTTTCGGAGTCTTTTCAATTACTAAAACCCAAAGTCCAAGAAATTATCGATAAAGTTTGCTTCCCTGGTAAGAATTGTGTTTGATAGAGGCAATGGATTTGTTAAGTTTTGCAATTGTCTAATAATCCCCTCTTATTGGTATTCATAGATCCATGTGACACATACGTTTGCTCAAAGCCTTACTCGGTTTGTGAGTTAGATGATGAATCTCCAGTTTGTGTATGTCCGAAAACGTGCCCCTATAGATCAGAACCTGTTTGTGGATCGGATGATGTGACGTACCGCAATCCATGTCTGCTTAGGAAGACGGCATGCGAGAAAAATAAACTCATAACAGTTGCGGCAGAAAGTGCTTGCAGTAAGTATTAACCTGTATGAACTCTAACTCTATTAAATCATAGCTACGTTTCTACCCCAATCTTTTTCAAAATATATTTTCAATTTCAAATGCCAAAGCTCTTTTGAGAATAACAAGGCAATAATAAAAATTAACATAACAAAAAAAGCTAAGGAAATGGATTCTGAAGTGTAGGTATAAAGCGTCATAACCTTTGAGTTCTATTGATGGTTTTCAACCATTCCCAAAAGAATTGAATAACAAAAGACACGGCGGCCATGCTGGAGGATATAGCAAAAGATTTCATTGACAATTCTTTTGTTAAGTTCCTCCAACATGGCCGCCGTGAAAACCATCAATTATGTTCATTTTCTTACTGGACTCTGAAGATGACTTCCGCTCAGGTTGTCGAAACGTCAGTCACCACCAACAACAGTCTTTCTCAAGACTACACTCACCCGGACGACAACATTTCACACCAAACTTCAACACCTGGGTTCAAACCATTTACTCTTATTATGCTCATCCAATTTGTAATATGGACAATCAATCTTCTTAAACTAAACACGAAACAACTTGTGGCTTGGTCTCCTTGGGATTTGCTATTTCAATCCTCTTGAATGCCTGTAGGTGACTTAAATTAAAGTCATCAACCCTCTAATTAGCATGAACTTAAAACTTGAATATCTCTCGGAACAAAAATGCTAACAAGAAATGAAGAAAAAAAACGCCAGTTTTCTTCTTTCGTTGAGTACTTTAACATATGTTAAATTTCATCTTCCATATGTTACCGATACCAAGGGCGGATCCAGGGGGGCAAAGGGGGCTGAAGCCCCCCCTTTTAGCAGAAAAAACCATGCTTTTGTATATTGTTTTCCGTTGTGTTGACGGAAGAAACTCAATTAGCCCCCCCTAAACTCGATTAGTGCCCCCCCCCCCTAAAATTTTGGCTGGATCCGTCCTTGGATACACACCTGAAGGAAAAAATACTAAGAATGACACGTAGTCATTGTCTGAAACATACACGTAGTACTTTATATTCCCATGACGCAAAGTGTATAAGTCTAAAGTATAATTAAAGTTACTATTTAAAGAAGTATAATTTGAAGTTACTAATTATCGCCATTTTTGTGTTCAATTCATTTCAGAATGTAAAACAGTCTTGGATTTAGTCTTTGTGGTGGATTCTTCGGGAAGTATCGGAAGGCGTAACTGGATTACCATGAAAGAATTCTTGAGTCAAATCATTTCCGAGTTCCAGGTTGGTGAGGACGGAACCCACGTGGCTATGGTGACTTACAGTAGTACCGCCAAAGTCGAGTTTACATTCAACACATTGACCGGATCAAGGAGAACTGCTCAAGAATATGCCAAAATTGTGAATGCTATGAGATTGCAAAGAGGATATACTTTTATTGATAAAGGAATAGCTAAGGCTAACCAAATGGTCCTCACAGCTGTCGCGGGAATGAGAGAAAGCGTTGATAAGGTATGATATTGTACGTCACTATGTTAATAAAACATTCCAAAGAAATGAACCTAAACTGAAAGATAATATCACAGTATTAAGCTACACACAAAAAGGCATGTGAAGGTTTACCCGCAACATGCAACATGCAACAT